GAGACTGTGTACAACTTGGCTCAGGAGGGTGGAGAGCACATTGGGACAGAGCACAGCCATAATGCAGGTTTTGCATTTGGCTTGCTGTTGGGGCCTCACCTGTAGCAAACACTGGATCAGTTGCAGCTCTTATTGCTGCTTGTTGTAACTTCCATGTTCCCTTAAATATAGTGCCGCTGCGGACAAATTCAGTCTGTGAGTTAACAAATACCTGTTACACATTTGCTGGGTGCCAAACCAAACATTGCCTAGGTTCTAGAACACAATGCTCAACAGAACACCCAACCATACTCCCTCCCTCATACAGAGCGAAGACTAGCATAGGAGACGGATATTTAGGAACACGTTTCACAAATAAGTCTCACTTGGTAGAGTAACACACACACACACACACACACACACACACACAGGAGTATGATGTAAGACTAGAAAGGACATCTCTAAAGAAGAGGTGGTTGAATTCAGACCTAAAAGACGAGAAGACTGAGCATTCACGCTGCCAAAATGGACTTCTGCCAAGATCCATGGCAGAAAGGAACTTTGTGAAGACTTGAGTACTAGACAGGGGTAGAATATGGAGACCCTAGTTCAAGGACATGGGCTGGAAAGAAGGTCAAAGAGCAGACCTTAGAGACCATGGGGTTTGATTCCCATGATGGGATGCAGACAGTTTGCCCGATGCCTAGCATAATCCAACTAGACAGGCAGTTTTATCAGTTTTTATCCATTTGTCAGGTACCACCTACTTACATATTCACTACTCATCTATCCCCACGCGCTGGAGACAGGCATGAGACAGCTGCCTAAGCTGTCCCTGCATCACTGGATACTCTATATTTTCATTGTTTTTACCAAGCAATGAGATATGTAAAGCTGTCTCTTGTTCTCTCATGCGACACGAATATGCACAATCATTTCTCCCATATTACTTACTTGCTGATACAGAATTCCCAATGAAAGGGTTAAAGGGAAAGAAAGGTTGGTTTGGGCACACGGTTTCAGAGAAGTTATAGTACACCATGACAGGGGAGGTGGGGACGGGAATGGCTTCATCTTTGGCAGTGGGGGCATGTGATAGTGGTCCCTCCCTTGTAGCCAACTAGGAAACATAGAGAGATAGGTCCAAGCTGGAGGCAAGTGTAACCTTCAAGGTCAACTAGTGACTCACTTCTGCCATACACTCCAAAAGTTCCAAAAACAGTGCCACCAGCTAGGGAGCAAATATTTAAACCCGTGAGCCTATAGGGGACATTTCATATTCAAACTGTAGTGTTGTTCTTTCCCTGGACGTCACAGGATCATAGTCATTTCATGATGCATTTTAAAATGCACTGGGACAACTTTAAGAGTCCCCACAGTCTTAATAGTTCCAACAAGTGTTGACTAGTTCAAAGTCTGTTCAAAAACTCAAGGTAAAGTTTTAGTTGTGACTTCTAATAAAAACAAACAAACACCAAACACTCATTCATTATTTTTAAAGAATTATTTATTTTATGTATATTAGTACACTGTTGCTGTCTTCAGACACACCAGAAGAGGGTATCTCATCCCATTACAGATGGTTACGAGCCACCATGTGCTTGCTGGGAATTGAATTCAGGACCTCTGGAAAAGCAGTCAGTGCTCTTGACCACTGAGCTGTCTCTCCAACCCCAAACACTCATAATATAAAATAGCAAAGAGTAAACATTACCGTTATGAAAAGGAAGAATATACACAAAGAAAGGAGAACTGTCATCAAAGCAAGTTTACTTTCACCTCAGTGTGTGGCATCCAGGGCACACAGTGGCATCATTCATGTTCCAGTGGGTTCAGGCAACCCTGTCTCCATTCTCTGCCCATCTTCAGCATCCAGGGGCTCTGAGCCAGTTCTACTGGGCCCTGAAGCTTTCCTCTGTAAATATTAAGTGTTCCTGGTATCTCCAACTCTCTGGGGTCTCTATTCCAGCTTAGGCTTCGCTTTCACAGCTTGACACCAGGCCACGCAGGAGCTTCCTGCAGGGAATCTGACCCTGCTGCACCTGGCCTGGCCTCTCAGGTTTTCTCTAGAACATTGGTATAAGCCTCTATGACTCTGTAGTTCTGATGTTCTGCATGCTGACAATTTCAACATGGTCAACATCAAGTTCTGCTGTCTGGTAAGGACATAGCCAGCATGCCTTGAACTATGGCTACAGGGGCCTCTGAATGCTTGATTGGCTGCAACAGGAGGAAATACTTACCTGTTGAAGGAAACCTAAAGGTGCTCTCTGTTTGGATCTCTTTTGTTACTCTTGCTTAAATGAAATTTAAGTCTCTGAAATTAGTTTTCTTCATCAAGAAGGGTCTCATTCTCATGGCGCCTAGTCTACCACCCATCCCAGTGTGAAGCCAGTGCTTTCCCTTCCTTTGTCCTAGGCTCTTTAACAGCTGCCACCACTTTGTCCACAGCATTTGCCTTATCTTAAACTTTATCTTAAACTTTTCACTTATTCACACTTCTTTCTTCATTGAGTTGCACATTTTTCGCGTCTTGCTGCCCCAGCCTTTGTTCTGGATTTTCACTGTAAATCTGGCTAAAGTCAGTCAACAATAACCATGCCATAGCCTACATGTCCTGCTGTCTCAAAATTACCATGTCAGATGAATTAGCCCATTATTTTTTTTTACCTCAAATGTTCAAGACCTGGACAAAAAGCCTCCAGATTCTTTTCTGGAGTGTAGCATGCATACACTTCTAACCCAGTCCCCAACAGTCTCTGTCCCCATCTGAAACTCACGAGCAGAGTTTCTGTTGTCCTCATTTTGCTCAGCATTCTAGTGCTCTGAGCTCCGACTGGAGTGGCCCATTAAGCCCTTACAGTACTTCAGTTTTGTTCGCCCACAATGCACATCATAAGTCAGTTGTAAAGGCCCTAATCACAGAAATAATGTAATTTAATTGATATAAATTTCCTTTTCTTTTTTTAAAAGATTTATTTATTTTATGTATATAAGTGTTCTATCTGCATGTACCCTTGCATGCCAGGAGACCACATCAGAACTCATTATAGATGGTTGTAAACCACTATGTGGTTGCTGGGACTTGAACTTCGGGACCTTTGGGAGAGCAGCCAGTGCTCTTAACCGCTGAGCCATCTCTCCAACCCCAACATCAATTTTCTACATGACTTACTTTTTCATCACTGTGCCTGAATAACTGACAGGATGACAGAGAGAAAGGTTTTATTTTGGCTTACAGTTTTGGAGAGATGACAGTCTGTCACTATAGGAAACGTATTAGCTGTAGGATTGGCTCCATCCTTGGTCCTGGGAACGTACAGAGACGGCACCTCCATAGACCAGAAGACAGAGGGACTAGCTCTGAACCTGAGATATGTACAGCCTTCAAGGTACTTTCACCAGGTAGGACCCATGTCCCAAAAGTTCAGTGACCTTCCAAAACAGCATCATCAACTGGGGGCCAGCTATTCAAACGTGGGTGCTTCTGGTGGAATCTGACTTCTACACAGTAACTCTGAAGCCATATTTATATTTGGAAATGCACTTTCTGTTCATAAGGAGTACTTGAGGCTAAGATAGGAATGCCCCCATTTCTATTGAGAACTTTGGTTAGAAAGCCCTCAGGAACTATGGGTTATTAAGCCACAGTGTGATGTTCCTTGGACTGCATAGGCAGATCTGGCCATGCCCGGGGCAGAGTCACAGGCTACCTCTTTCCTTTAGGAGGGTTTTTTTCCCCCTGCCTAGCTGACATTGACCATGTTAGCCTTCCAAGAGTATGCTCTGATCTCACGGATACCTACAGGAGAGATTTTCTGGTAATCAATTCACTCCATTCCAGCTTACCTCAAATCTTCTCTATTCAGTGCAGCTAGATTTTTTTCTCAGCTCAACTTTATTCAGCTCAAATCCATTCTTTGATGCATGACTTCATTTTATTGACCTGCTTTCCTATGTCTGCATCTGTATTGGGCCTGGGAACCCAGCTGGCGTTGCCTTCTCTGGCAAACTCATCTCACGGTGGCAACCTAAATGGTACTGGTGTATTGTGCTGAAGACAAGGCTGGACCTCGAGCACTATTGCCCTGTTTGCATCTTCACTTCGCCATCTGGAGCATATTCTTCAGCTCCCTGATCATACTTCATCAGTGAAAGAAGAGTAACAGTAACTCTACCTAGTGGGATATTTGTCAGGATTACATTCCCAGAAGGCACTTGTTCTCCACTAAGTCATCCATCCCACTTTTTAAAATCACTGTTTCTAGAGGCAAGACTAGATGACTGAGGAAACCCAACGCCCTCTAGTACCTGGAAAACAGAACTCGAGCAGGGTACAATAGATTCACCCGTGAACTTCACAGGGGTCCTAACCTTTGACCTGCCCTAAGTCTCCATGCTCCTCAGTGCTCTCTTTCATACACCCACTGAATCACTTCCCAGAAATATTTTTACCCATATTACTTTATTGGACTCAGTTTGGTTCTTGATCCTTTGAGCTCAGAATCAGGGCTTGTGAATTAAGCAGTCCTGTGACGTTACACTTCATCTCCCTATGAGCAGGGAGAAGGTATTGGGGATGGAAGGGACAATGACAGCCTGTCCAGCCTTCCAATCCCTCAGAACCCTATAGAGGCACAGTTGGTGACATCCTCAATCATACTGATGGCAGAAGGGAAGAGGAGGATGGAGATGAACATTAGCACGTGGAGGAGAGTGGAACCCTAGGGTGAGCCATAGACCTATGCTCTTCTTTCTATAGCCCAGACGACCACATCATTCCATGCCAACCTAGACTCAGGTGACGTTTCAGACAGGAAAATCAATGGGTACTCAAGAGTACCAGTGGGTACCAAACTACAGCACACCCATCACCCAGCATTCCCAGGTTAAACATAGTGCAGGCTTCCCAGACATCTCTCATTGTTTTCCACACATCGCTAAAATCAGCTTTCTACTGTCAGAATGCCTTCATGCGTGTGCTTCCGGGCTGATCTCCCACATGTACCCTTTTCTCCTAGGTACTCAGTGGTCTCAGATGCAGAAACCGAAAGCATTTTCATGGAGCCCATCCATCTCTCCTCAGGTGTAGCCGCCAAGCAGATCATCAGTGAAGGTAACACGACTACCATCTGAGGGAGCAGAGGGAAGGCTCAACAGCCAACAGAAGACCTTTGTAGGGGGCCCTAGGGAAAGTTCAGTGCCACCCATCACACTGAGGAGAGCAGATATCACAGAGACAAGTGTGCCAAAGTCACCTCAATAACCTTCATGGGAAAGGTAAACTAGCCAGATACCATATGAATGGTTCTCTAGCCCACAGTCATGGAGGAAAGCGGTTTCACTTGGACCCCAGAGCTGTTCACTTTGATTTTTTTTAACTTCAAGGATTGGGAATAGAGGTGGGTGTGGAGGGGCTTGTGGTAGGCACAAACCCAAAAGCCCAAGAAATTGATAGAAATAAGGAATACCCAGAGAGTTCTGTTCACAACGGTGTTTACATTTAGATCTCTGTCCATTCTGCTTCAGAATGGTTTTTAAATCTGCCTTTAAAAGCTGATGAAATGGGTCCAGGGAAATGTCTCATGGGTAAGGGCACTCGTCACGAAGGCTGGTGACCTGAATTTGATCTTCTGATCTTACATAGTGGAAGGAAAGAACCAACTCCCACAAGTTGTCCTTTATCTCCACACACAGGTGCTCGCGTGCACACACACACGCACACGCACACGCACACACTAAATTGTCATTTTAAAATTTTAAATTGATAAGATAGGTTGCCATGAGGAAAATTACGGGAAAGCAGGGTGGGTTGTGACTGTCGTGTTTACTCCTCAAATTTTGAGGCAGACGGCAGACTGTATTTCATTCATGGCTACTCATCATGATTGAAATGTGTAGGGGTTTGGTTTTGTTTGTTTCCTAGGAAGTTTGGGGCAGATATCTTTCACAGTTCTACTCTTGCCTGCTCTCCTATAACTTCTCTACGTGGTCAGCCTCACCTCTGATGGGGTTGAGGCAGAGCAAGGCAGCAAGTTGGTGACACAGTGCTCAGGTAGTTGGAATTTGAGCTCATTTAGAATTTGAGTCTTCTGACATCTTGTCCGGATGACTCTGGGTCCTGGGGTGAGATCCAACTTCCCACCCTCCTGTGTGCTGCAGGAGGAGGGCTGCAGAGAGACAAGAACTGCAGGCAGAGAGGCAGGAACCTCAGGCACTTGGGTTTCAGTGCTGGGGAAGCAATGAATGAAACACATGAACAAACTTAATGTCTCTCAGAAGGCAATGCCTCATAAATGACTGATAAATTTTACCTTTTCCCAGGAGTACGTGCATTCCAGATGTGATAGGGTGGACTATGTTGGAAAGAGCACCATTCATTCATTTAGTAAATCCTTTTGACTATCCACGTGGTACTGAGCACTATGTGATTTAAGACAGGAATCAGAGATACTATGAATAGTCAAACACCAGTGTCTAAGAAGTTATCAGCCAGCTGTACAAAGAAGTGAATAGCAGAAACTAGTTTGGTTCTCCTCCCTCACCCCCGCCTGCAGTCAATCCTGATAACAAGTGTCTAAAGTCGATGCCACTGTCCTCCTGAGTCCTAATGAACTCCTTCCTGGCAGATCCTCCCAGTATCCCATCTGTGCCAGGGTCCTGGCAGCAAACTAGCCAAGAGAGGCTCTCTCAAAGGACAGGAAAAGCTGTTGTGTTCCTAACTCTTCGATACAAATGTCACCGTGTCCTTTCTAGAACTTAAGCCTCGGGGTCTCAGAACAGACACTGAATGTCCAGGCATGCTGGAGTCTGCTGAACAGCTGCTAGTGGAAGACCTGTACAACCGTGTCCGCGAGAAGATGGATGATAAAAGCCTGTTCAACACCCCCTGTGTGCTGGACCTGCAGAGGGCGCTGATCCAGGACCGGCAAGAGGCCCCTCGGAATGAGGTGGATGAGGTCTGGCCCAACGTCTTCATAGCTGAGAAGTGAGTGTGGTCACTGGGGAAGGTGGCCCTCAGTCCTTCTCCTTGGTTAATCCCTGAGGTGAAACTCCTCTAGCTCATCAAAGGCTCCCATACTTCCTGCCATCAAATGGAGCCTGCCTGACCATTTACCCAGGCCTGACTCTGGAGAGAGTCTTCCTACTGACCTGCAGGCAGAGATCCCCAGACGAAATGAATGAGCACCCGTATTCCTCCTTCCTATGAATGCCCTCCAGCACAGCCTTGCTCTTCCGGGTGTCTTCCTGACATAGGTGCTTGCTGGCTCCATCATTTCTACCACCCCACCCCATCTCTAATAACCAGACAAGAGAACACCAGGAGCAACTGACAGTACCCATGTGCATACAAGGTTAACAATAATGAAAATGTACACAATACAGTAAAGAAAAAATAGTGTGTATATACAGTGTGGTGCTGGTTAGGTTCTCTCTGTGTGTGTGTGCGCGCGCGTGCGCACATGTGTATGCATGTATACATTCTCATAAACCTCACATTAGAAAGAAGTGTGATAGGATGTTAATAGTACCCGAGAGGTGGTTTTGTTCTCTCCTTTGAATTTCTTCTATGCATCTCCCAGACATTGTTCTTATAACCACAAAACTAGGTTTTAAGTTAACCAGTGCCTGCTGAAGTGAAAACAAAAAGCCATCACATTCCATCTCGTCAGGGTCTTCTCGGTGCATAATTGGTACCAGTAGGCTATTTTGAGAAACTAATTTTTGCTGATTCATTGGCTACTTAATGAGACATCTTCCTGATGCAATTACCCTTAGAACCAGAATCGAGAGATGGAGGTTAGGGCCCCAGGGCAGGCAGTGTGGGGACAGCTTTGGATACTGGGTCTTATACTCTGTCACAAGTCGATCAGTTGCCCAGAACCTGATTTTCAGATCATCAAGACCTAAGTGACTTCTAACTAGATGTCCAGGTCCAGAAGCATTTATTCCGTGGTCACCAGACATCTCCAGAGATCCTTAGCTAAAGGCCTCTGCAGTTCTTTGAGCAAAGCTGTCCTCAGGGGCTCTTCAAATTGAGCTGCACTTACAAAAGCAAGAGCCCTGAACACTAGTCCTTGCTTGGTCTTTTTCTCTTTTCAAGCCTTGGGTAAAAGCTCTTGAATTCATTTTTATAATCTTCAAACAGATATAAAAGTAACTGCCCTTTCTACCGCTTCAGTTTATGAGAAGGATAAAATAAAGTGTGTGCGGGGTCTGGAAAAATGCAGCATGTAATGCCTAGCACAAGACTCTATCTATTTAATTTTATTTATTTATAATTTTATTTATTTAATATTTTGTATGCATGTTTTATCTACATGTACATCTATACACCATATACATGTCTGAGGCTAGAAGAGGACGGTCAGAATGCAAGACTTCTATCTGTCTGTCTGTCTGTCTATCTATCTATCTATCTATCTATTATTTTAAATATATTGTATGCATGTTTTGTCTGCATGTATCTATACATCATATACATACTTAATGCTAGAAGAGGGTGTTGGGTCTCCTGGGACTGTAGTTGCAGATGGTTGTAAACCACCACATGGGTGCTAGGACCAGAACCTGGGTCCTCTGGAAGAGCAGCCAGTGCTCCTAACCACTGAACCATCTCTCTGGCCCTCTAATTTTACTTTTTATGCCACCTTTATGCTTTGATGCATGTACATTCCCAATATATATTAGTCTTATCCTCCTTTTTCCCCTGCCCTTCCCCAACCAATCCCCTGTCTTTTTTCTCTCTTGCTGTAGCCCAAAGCGTTGGCCCCTCTTAAATTAAAGGTGTTAACAGTGAGTCCCAGACCACAAGGGGCATAGGAGGGAGCACTAGCCCAGCTATGTGATCCTATCACACTGGTAATATATCTTTCTAGTTCTGACTCTGGCAACCACGCCCTGCCTCTTCTTCCAGAAGCGTGGCTGTGAACAAGGGGCGACTCAAGAGGCTGGGAATCACCCACATCCTGAATGCTGCACACGGCACAGGTGTTTACACTGGTTCCAAATTCTACACTGGCCTGGAGATCCAGTACCTGGGGGTAGAAGTGGATGACTTCCCGGAGGTGGACATCTCCCAGCATTTCCGGAAGGCAGCTGAGTTCCTTGATGAAGCCCTGCTGACCTACAGAGGTGAGCGGGTCCTGCAGGTTCCAGGCTGTTGGAAATTCCCCAGTGGGGGGGGATGTTATAAAAACTTCCTGATTGCCTGGGGATGTCTGTCTTCACATGGTTGCTTTCTCTGAGAAGGGAAAGAACGACCATTCACCCTGTGGGTGACTATTAAGGGCCGAACATGCAGAGAGTGTTATTCTCCCACTGTCCTGAGGTTCAGTAGGCATCACACTAGGCAATGAGGGGAGGGGAAATTAAAGAAGGAAGAACAGAGGTGAGGGAGGGGAAAGAGAAGGCAGGAAGAGGAGGGAAGGGGGCTATGGTGAATGCAAGGCAGAAAGTAACTAGAGTGACACTCTGGAATGGCAGGCTTGCTCCCTGAGGGCACTGGGGAAGATCTGACTAAGAACAGGACTTTTAAGCTCCATGGGGGAAAAGGAGCTAATCAGGGGGAAAGTAGAGGCACACTCTTCGCTAAGGAAATAGCTAGTGCAAAAGCCCCGAGTTTGATATGTTCGGGAATCAAAAGACTGAGCAGAATTAGCAGAGCACTGAGGGCTGTATGTCGGGGACAGAGTGCCCATGGGGATGACAGGATTCTGAGGTGACTGATGGCCTAGGAGTGATTCCTCTGCTTTAGAGAATGGCCAAGTAGGAAGGAGTGACGCAGGGCCACGGCTGCTGTGTGAGGCATTGTGGGAGTAGACGAGTCCGTAGGAGTGCCCAGGGTTCTGTACACTTCTCCATGACAGGTCTGTGCCCCTTCAGGGACCACAGCCTGGCAGTAAGCGTGCAGGCTTTGTTGTCCAGAGGCCTGTCCTAGAGTCCATGAGTAACTAGCTTTGCACTTGGACTGTTCTCCTTGCCCCCGGAAGCACAGCATCCTTATACATAACTAATGCTAATGTTGCTGTGAGCGATAAAAACTTAGAAACAAATTTATGTAGCATATTGCCTGCCTGATGACACATGTTTTAAAAATTACTGCCATCATCATAAGAATATTATTTTTAGTTATTCCAGGAAAGGGCATAGCCTGCTACCACTCATGACCAGAATTGGGAGCTTCTAATAGAAAATACCCACCCACACAGAATATGTGAATGTGTGTAAATTTCATTACACACGCATACACAAAGAGTTTTATTTTTTTTTCTTTTGATGCTTTTTTTTTTAATCCTGAGATTTTTTTTTTTTTGTCTGTTTGTTTTAAAGAGACAACATCTTACTCTGTAGCCTGGTCTGTATTATAACTCATTATGTAACTCAGGTTGGCCTTCAACATGAGGCAATCCTCCTGCCTCAGCCTCTTACACACCAAGATTACACACATGAGCTACTCACCTGGCTTACTTTTTAAGATGCAGGCCTTTTCTATTATTTATTTCTGTGGGATACGTGCATGAATGTCTGTGGCAAGGAGCCTTGGCTCCTTTGCTTCTTGCAACTGGGGGGCAGCCTCCTGTCAGAAAGGGCTGGAAAGGGGGCGTGGGCTATGGATGGCATGTGGCCATCATAAAGGAGATCATGAATTCCACAGTAGGAAGGGAGCTCTGGCAGAAGTTAGATCACGGCTAGAGCAGCCTCTGTAGGAAGAAGACGCTGCAATGGAGCAGGAAGCTCCCTGCCTTTGGCTTATGGAGGGCACCCGCCCAGCCTCTAGAATTCATGCAACAGTGCAAATCTGCTTAGGTCGGTGGTTCTCACCTTCCTCATGCTGCAACCCTTTAATACAGTTCCTCATGTCATGGTGACCCCAACCATAAAATTATTTTGTTGCTATTTCATAACTGTAATTTTACTACTCTTATGAATCCTGGTGTAAATATCTGATATACAACCCCAAAGGGGTTCTCGACCCACTTAGGCTAAACCTTGGCCATTGTGCAAGGAGCCCCAGTCCCACCTTGCTGGGGCTTCTCCTCTCCCTATTCTAGAAGTGAGCCAACACCTCCTGCAATCTTCAGAACAGCCTCCCCTTTACTCTAGGATGCACTGGTGGCAGGAACACCAGTCTCCATCACAGTGGTCCCATGATGGGTGTTGCTGTTTACACTTTACACACTGAGAAGCGTAGACAGGTCCTAGATAGGTCCTCTGGCTTTGCCTCTGTGTGATAATAAAATCTTCTTACCCTAAAGAGATGGCAAAGGTGTGTAGTACAAGCACACAGGAGGATGAGGATAAAGGATTATCATGACTTCCAAGCCAACCTTAGCTATATAGCAAGTATCAGGCCAGGCGCCACTACATACCAAGACCCTGCATCAAAAAATAACAAAGACCATAAACACGTACAGGGGCAGGGGCCATAGACTTTGCTAACAAGTACAAAAATAGCTCCAAGTCCTCAGAAAAGCACATGCTAAAGGAAGCCATGCTACCAAGAGACACAGGGAAGAATTTAAAGACAAGACCACAACACAAGATGCAGGCCTTTTCTATTGGTGGTCTGAGGAAACACCAGACAATCATAGGGTTCCTGGTTTCTGGTTTCTTTCTCCCTCTATGTCAGATAAGAAGGCTGCCATTAGCTAGTCATCTGTTTCACCTGTTTCCAAACCCTGTCGCGTTTGTCTGGCAGACTCTGGTGCTCTGGCTATCTACTGAGAGTCCTATCCACAGCCAGTCGGATGGCCTCTGGGCAAGCACTTTTTCCTGGGGTGTGGAGAGGTATGTTCTGAAGAAAGGGAGGGAAACAGGTTGGGAGGATACAGTACAAATACACAATTTAAAGGGAAAAAAGCAGACTAAGGGATAGGTAAGGTGGAGACACAGTCTTGCTCAAGCCCAGTGCTGCTTCCGGTGGTGCTCTTTAATCTTTGCAACAGGGCCCTTATCCAGATGGGCCTTCCACCCACCAATCATCCCAGTTGCTAAACAAAGTGATGACTGTGTACATTGGCCATCTTCCTGGAGCGATTTTATTGATAGAAAGTTTTCATCTTGTCAGTGGTGACGGTGACAGAGGCACAGCTCCATACCCACATCAGCCTGAGGCGCTCCCTTAATCTTTTGGGGACCTCCACTGAGGTAAAACCAGATCCTTGACACAAAAGAATTTCAGGATGAGCTGGTATGAGGCAGGCTTGGTGTTTATTAAAAGACATTTTTAACACATTTCAAAACAGGGGTTGATAGAAAGAGAGGAGCTTAAGAAGAAAGCGAGGCACCCCCAGGAGCCAGCGCTCGCTGCTCTGACAGAGTGCCACTTGACTGCCTTTAGACACACACACACACACACACACACACACACACACACACACACACACGGTTCTGGTAGGGCTCCAAAGCTATTATCTTTAAAGGGTTCCGAGTTTAAATGAGAGCACAGGGTGGTTCCTGAGGGGTACCGGACAGGATTGCTGTTGATAAGGTAAAACTCTAGATCCCTGCGGATGCAGGAAGTTAAGAGTCTTCACTCTAAACAAAGTTAATAGACTTGTTTGAGATCCCCAGAAAATGTCTGGGAGAGGAATGAAGCCTGTCCCAGATCATATACATCCAGGCCTTAAATCTATGTCACTGCTATTTTTAACAATATGCCCATATGTGAAAGGAATGCTATCATTACGTGGGCAATCTTTGCAGCACTGTTACATAGTGCTGAAACTCTTGATCCCCATTGGCTAGAGGCTTCAATGGGGGCTCATTCCAATTCCCATGTCTCCATCATTTCCCCTATCTTCCTGCCTTGCTTTAATAATATAGTTCCACTTCACTATGGAGGGTACCCACTGGAATTGTGCTCAGTGCCTCTTCCCTGGTGCGTGGATCAAACCCAGGTCCTCCCAAATGCTAGACCAGCTCTGCTCCCTTTGCCTGGGCCCTGCACATAGCAGAGGAAAGAGAAAAATCCTGTTCTCGCTTGGCTGAAGTGAGTGGAAACCCTAAGGCCCAGCTCATCCTGCCTCTCCTCGTCCTTCAGGATGCTTCCCTGAGGTTTCTGCAGAGGAATCCCAGGAGCAAAGAACACAGCAAAGGAAGACTTGTCCCCACGCCAGACCTGCTTTCTGCTAGACTGTGTCTAAGTAGGACTCCCTACCCTTATGACGAAGACTAGGCAGTACTGTCCTGAAAGTGAGCTGGCCTGTCAAGGGACAAGTGCAGGCTCCTGATCCTAATGGCAGAAGGTTGTGAGCTGGCCAGAAGGTTAAGAGAAAGGCCCTCGGTGAGGCCCAGGAGAGGTAGGAAGGGCTAGAATGGGAAGCAGAGGCTTTTATTGTTTTGGCTCTGCTCACCTACCTCCCTCTAGTGGCTGCTGACTTGTGGCAATAGCAGCCTCACTGCCCCTGGGTCCTTTCAGGTTTCAGTCTCTGACCTCTGTGACAAAGACAAGGCCTTTCTGGTGCAAAAAATATAACAATAAAAGAATCATCCCCCGCTCCTATTATCAGATAGGACTCCTGCCGATTTAGCAAACATCTCCAAAGGCTGTTGGCAAGTAGATTGATGGCAGCCAGGAAGAAGGTCTCTAGGGGTCTCAGGCTGCATCTTAAACAGCCATTAGAATGAAGGTACTGACAGAGTGTCTGTCACATTTATGAAAGATGCAAAGCAGAAGGGGAGGCCGGGGGACAACATGACTGCTGAATGGTACAGCTGAGACTTCCGGAAGCTTCTGTAGGCTGGAAGAACAGACCACAGAGACCAAACGTATCCATAGGGATTTGTGATGTCACCCTTATGCTTAAAACATACTACAAGATGAGAGACATGACTTAGTGGCAGGTGGAAATTTTTTTCAAGTTTTATAGATTTCGGTTGATATAGAAGAATTTAAAATCATTGTTTGACCTGTTGTCTGCACTGCAAGCAATGCTATGGTTTAGGTGGCTGAGTGCCCCCTCCCAGGGCTTTCTGACCTGAAAATTAACTCTAGCTGTTTTTTAGATAATAAGAAGGTGGAAACTGGTCCAACACTAGAGTTTGAAGGTCTAGCCTTTAGGATGAGGATCGGGTAAGGTCGTTAGGGTGAAGGTCTCACGACTTCATCCTGGTAGCTTTTTAAGAGGCAGACATGAGGGGGGCACACAAACACACACATACACACACACACACAAACACACACACACAGAGAGAGAGAGAGAAACACAGAGAGAGAGAGAGAGAGAAAGAAAACACACACACACACAGAGAGAGAGAGAGAGAGAGAGAGAGAGAGAGAGAGAGAGAGAGAGAAAGAGACTTGCTGTCTTTTACCCTCTGATGCTACTGCCTCAGGACTCCACCAGCAGAAAGGCTGTTACTAGATACAACCTCTAGATGGTTGTCCTTCAGAATCATAATAAAATAAAAAATAAAACCCAAAAAACTTACTTTCTTTGTAAAGTAACCTGCCTCAGGCATTTCATTATAGTAGTAAAAAAATGACCAGTACGGATAGCATGAGCGAAGACCAGGTGTCCAGGACAAGTGACAAGGGAACCTACTCTATGTGAACCTACTCTATACCTTGTCTAAACTGGAAATACCTTGTTCTATCCTGGAAACAATTCCTCGTGAAAACAAACAGCTAACTAACTAGTAGCTCAATGGTTTGATTTAATGTTCGGGACAGGGAAATGCTTAAACGAGTTAGATTAGCCAGGATGAAAAACAAAGCAGATATGATAGTAATGTCTGTAAGGGCCTTTGTACAAGGGTCTGCTTCATACAAATGTGTCTGTGGTTGATTCCAGAACATCAGCACAGAAGCACTGGAGGCAGTAGGTTATACTTTACCCTAATATATGACAAATTCTCCAAAAATTAGATGGGCCCCCATGGAAGGAGGTGTGTGTGTCTGTGGAGCTGTGAGCCAATGAGTTCAGGGCCCAGATGGCAGAGTTGTGGGATGCAGGATGCTGTAAAGGGAAGTTCCCAGCGTTGCGCTCCTGTGTTCTGCCTCCCAACTTCCTCAATCTCTCCTCTCTAAGACAAGGACGAGTTTGTGGGGAGAAGGTAGAAATGAACCCCAGTGTTTCAGAAGTGACAACAGTGGAGGCGGGGTGCTCTCTCTAATGTACGTGGGATAAGCTCCCGTGTGACTTTAGCACAGATGAACAGAGTCAAAGCAAACACACCAAGTTCAACACATCGAGACAGTACACTAGAAAAAGACCACGAGGAAACCCAGAAATTGTATCATTGACTCTTGTGTTCATTTTGGTTTTTAGGGAAAGTCCTGGTCAGCAGTGAAATGGGTATCAGCCGGTCAGCAGTGCTGGTGGTCGCCTACCTGATGATTTTCCACAGCATGGCTATCCTGGAGGCCTTGATGACTGTGCGCAGAAAGAGAGCTATCTACCCCAATGACGGCTTCCTGAAACAGCTACGGGAGCTTAACGAGAAATTGATGGAGGAAAGGGAAGAGGAGGATGGTGAAGAGGAGCCTGAGGAGGATGCCGGGAGCACGCTGGGTGCTAGAGTAAACTCATTGATGGTGGAAGAAGAAGATGATGCTACCAGCCACCTGAGCGGTTCCTCCTTGGGGAAAGCCAGCCAGGTCTCCAAGCCAGTCACCCTCATTGATGAAGAGGAGGAAGAGAAGCTCTATGAGGAGTGGAGGAAGGGGCAGGGCTTCCCCAAGGAGGAGGCTGCTCAAGGTAGAAACGGTAGCTGTTTTACATCCTCAGCACAGGATGGGGACGACTGTGAGGATGAGGATGTGGAAAGGATAATCCAGGAGTGGCAGAGCCGAAATGAGAGGTACCAAGCCAAAGGGCGCAAGCAGTGGAATCGGGAGGAAGAAGAGGAGGAAGAGAACTCCTATACCAGCAGAAGGCGCAGACACACGCTCAGCGAGAGCAGTGCCTCTGAGAGTGTGAGCAGCCATGACATCCGGGTCCTGAAGCAGCAACTGGAGAGGAGCAGCCAAAGTCGTCGCGGAAGACAACGCTCTGACTCCGAGTCCACGGAGAGCACCTGGGACATGTGGAATGAGAGGCTGGCGGAGATCGAGAAGGAGGCTGCCCGGAAGTACCGCTCCAAGAGCAAGAAGGAGGAGCTGGATGCCGATTATTCAGAGGCTGGGAGTAGAGTCCGAGACGATGATGAGGAGAGCGTGTTGTCCGAGGCCAGCTCCTTCTACAACTTCTGCAGTAGGAACAAGGACAAGCTCACTGCCCTGGAAAGGTGGAAGGTTAAGAGAATCCAATTTGGATTTCACAAGAAAGACTCAGAGGCGGGAGACGGGAGCAGTGAGCATGGTACAGAAGAGACCTCAGGAGAGAAGAACCTTTCTGATGTTAACCTGACAGCCTACCAGGCCTGGAAGCTGAAGCACCAGAAAAAGGTAGGCAGTGAGAACAAGGAGGAGGTGGTTGAGATGAGCAAAGGAGAGGACACAGCCTTAGCTAAGAAGAGACAACGGAGACTAGAGTTACTGGAGAGAAGCAGGCAGACACTGGAGGAGAGCCAGTCCATGGGAAGCTGGGAGGCAGATAGCTCAACCGCCAGCAGGAGCATCCCCCTGTCTGCATTCTGGTCTGCAGCCCCCTCTGTCAGTGCGGATGGGGACACAGCCTCAGTACTCAGCACCCAGAGTCGCCATTCTCACCTGTCTCAGCCTGCAAGTAACATGCCCACCACACCGCTGCCTAACCTGCCAGTGGGGCCTGGAGACACCATTTCCATTGCCAGCATCCAGAACTGGATTGCCAATGTCGTCAACGAAACCCTCGCCCAAAAGCAAAACGAAATGCTCTTGCTGTCCCGATCGCCCTCTGTTGCAAGCATGAAGGCAGCTCCAGCAGCCAGCTGCCTTGGGGAAGACCAACTCTCCGTGCTCAGCACCTCCCTGAGTGGCTGCTTCCCGCCTCAGAGCCAGGGGAGACCCAGCTCCGATGCGCAGTCTGTGCTGTCCTCCACCAGCTCGCTCACCTCCAGGGCTGAAGGCGGTGGGAACAGAGTGAGGGGGACCAGCAAGCCCATCTACAGCCTCTTTGCTGACAATGTGGACCTGAAGGAGCTCGGCCGGAAGGAGAGAGAGATGCAAATAGAGCTGCAGGAGAAGATGTCTGAGTATAAAATGGAGAAGCTGGCCTCTGATAACAAGCGTAGCTCTCTCTTCAAGAAAAAGAAGGCCAAAGATGACGAGGACATCAGCATGGGTGACAGAGACGAGGACACAGACAGTGCCATTGGAAGCTTTCGGTATTCCTCCCGCAGTAATTCCCAGAAGCCTGAGACAGATGCCTCCTCCTCTCTGGCCATCTCCGATCACTATAGAAATGGCCGCAGCGTGGGCAACGAGATGGATAGTAATATTAATACGTGGCTCAGTGGCCTCAGGATGGAAGAAAAATCTCCTCCTCAAAGTGATTGGTCTGGAAGCTCCAGGGGGAGATATACCAGGTCTTCGCTGCTCCAGGAAACAGAGTCTAAATCCTGCAGTTACAAGTTCTCCAAATCCAGGTCACAGGAACAGGACACCTCCTTCCACGAAGCCGATGGCGACACTGTGCGAAACACCTCACGGTTCTCATCTTCCACCACCAAGGAGGCCAGAGAGATGCACAAGTTCTCCAGGTCCACATTCAGCGAGACCTCCAGCTCCCGAGAGGAAAGCCCAGAACCCTATTTCTTCCGTCGGACCCCTGAACCCTCCGATGGGGAGGAGTTCCCAGAAGCAAGGCGTCCAAGCTGGACCAGGCCCAGGGACTGGGAAGATGTAGAAGAGTCATCTAAATCAGACTTCGCTGAGTTTGGGGCCAAGAGGAAATTCACCCAGAGCTTCATGAGGTCTGAAGAGGAGGGAGAGAAAGAGAGGACAGAAAATCGAGAGGAAGGGAGGTTTGCATCTGGCCGTCAGTCTCAGTATTGGAGAAGCACAAACCAGCAAGAGGAGGAAGAAATAGATGATGAAGCCATCATAGCCGCTTGGAGAAAGCGGCAAGAAGAAACCAGAACCAAACTGCAAAGGAGGAGGGAGGACTGAGCTGAATGAGGCCCACCTTGGAGACATTGGGAACACAGGAAAAAGCCATGCAACCTAACAGGGGGCTTGAGAACAGCTTCCCATGACCTGCCAAGGCTTGTCCGGGTGGACAGGCTCTTCCAGATGTGCAAAAATGAAAGCATCCAAGTAGAAAGGACCTGGACATACAGTAGGGTGGAGAAGAGAGAAGAGCCATGTGAGGCCCAAATTCTGGACCAGCTGACACTTTCCATCACCCAGACCCTCTAAGCTTTCGTGTTTCCCTTCTGTATTTGATAGTGTCCATCCCAGAGTAGACAGTGAGAGAGACCTTACTTGCAGACTGTGGTTCTCTTCGTTGAGGTTTTGTAATGAGACCCAGACAATCTATTCTGTAGCCGTTCTGGCCTCTCCCTGCCAATGCTCGGCTGTGATGGCTTCTTTTCAATGTTCTGGATCAGCATTAAATTGATAATGCTGTCAAATATTTCTCCATTCTGGTCATTTCTAACTCTGAAACTCATGGGGCATGGTGCTTACACACCCCTCCTGTGTATTAATTCAGCATCACGCATCACAGTAGACACACAAGACAACAAGGCAAAGGGGAGCCAACCCAAGCAGCTCAAACCCAGAAAGGCACAAAATGCCACCGATGCAGCGGGATTAACTTGGCAGCCTCCACACCCTTGCCCACGGTTTATCTCCCTCCACTGACCACAGGAAAAAGAAACCTCTCCCCCATTTGCCCTTTCCCTTCTTTGCCTACCTTCACTTAGTCAGCCTAGTTTCTGAAGTTTAGTATGTCTCTTTATCATTCATAAGATGCTACTCTAATTCACCCCTGCAAGAAGGCTGGCACTATACATGCTATACATTCTGTCTATGAGAGAATTCCATGTCCCTCCTACTTCATTCACATAGGAAGGCATCTGACATATGCACAATCAGCTGAGTATCTACCTTTGAACTTCGATTTTCTGAAAGGAGAAATTAGAGTACCATTCTGCCTTTCCACCTAGAGCCTGTTATTTTGCATTTCTCTATCTTGCTCCTTCTTGATCTCTCTCCAAAATATGTAAATTCATCTCACTCACATCAAGATAGGCAATGCCTTTCAAAATCAAAACTATTCCTAGTCAATTCCAATTCATATCTTACTGAATGAATGCTAGGCAGACATTTACTGTGTATTGATTTCTCCAACCCTGAATGTAAGCCTGAGACAAACAGACCAAGGGACAACCTATACACCTTCGGTTGAGCCCTAGATTACAGGGACAATAATGGCTTGCATGGCCAACAAGAAGACCAGCACAGAAACAGAGCAGTCCACCAGAAAAAGATCAGTGACCAGTCCCAAGGAAATGCCTCTGCCTGCAGCGACTCCAGGCATAGCTGCTAAGGATTCTGTGCTCAAAATTCTGAGAATTCAGCTTATTCCTGGAGTTCAGAATACATTTTTTTTTAGAAATTAAATCAATGAAAATTACATTTGGTTTATGATGAGCTTGAAGAAATATCTGTGAAGTAAGACTCTAACTGATGCTGATAGGCAGTGACAGTATGTTTTAGTTCCTAAATAAAATTAAATGGTAGAGGTTAGTGGAAGCCTCCCCGAGAAGCAGATGGCGAACATAGAGATAGCCAACAAGCTGGGAACCAAAAAGTTATCGACTCTTCTGGTGCAGAAACTGTGCTCTTCAGCATGGATGAGGGTTACAGGAGGAAAAGAGTACCAGATACCAACAGCCACAAGAAACCAATACTACCTCAGGGCTGAGGAACAGAGCAAAGAAGCTGGATCCAATGTCTTGGAGGATTCATAAATATGGATGGGGTACCTGTGGTGATTTGACTAGGAATGTCCCCCATAGACTCAAGTGTTTGAATGCTTGCCCCACAGGGAGTAGAGCTGTTAGTGGGTGTGGCCTTGTTGGAGGAAGCATGTCACTGTGGAAGCAGCCTCTGAGGTTATATATGCTCAAGCTACACTCATTGACATACATAATCTTTCCCGCTGCCTGTGGACCAAGATGTAGAACTCTCTTATCTTTCTCCAGCACCATGTCTGCCTGCACACTGCCATGCTTCCCACCATGATGATAATGGACTAAACCTCCGAAACTGAAAGCCAGCCCCAATTAAATGTTTGCCTATAAGAGTTGTCATGGTCATGGTGTCTGTTCACAGCAGCGAAACCCTAACTAAGACAGTGTGCCCTAACAAGATGAATATCCTCTGTCTTAGCTCATGCTGGTAACATCCAGCAGGAAGGTCTAGTTGTCTGTGGAGAGATGAACAGTGAGCCAGGTGTCTTAGTTAGGGTTTTACTGCTGTGAACAGACACCATGACCAAGACAACTCTTATAAGGACAAGATCTAATTGGGGCTGGCTTACAGGTTCAGAGGTTCAGACCATTATCAAGGCGGGAACATGATGGCATCTAGAGTTCTACATCTTCATCTGCAGGCTGCTTGCAGAATGCTGACTTCCAGGCAGCTAGGATGAGGGTCTTAAAGCCCACATCCACAGTGACACACCCACTCCAACAAGGCCACACCTACTCCAACAGGGCCACACCTTCTAATAGTGCTACTCCCTGGGCCGAGCAAATATAAACCATCACACCAAGACAGATGGAAAACTACGACACAACAAGGAACATGATAAAGAAGGGGAGCATCTCCACAGTAGCACCATTCCACAGGTGTGGACTGGCTTCAGTGAAGGCAACACAGGCACAAAACACATCAGCCTGCTCTTAGGAAATAATATTCAGAATAAAATTGTGGCTACATAGAATCAACTGTCAGAGAGAGCAAGGACTTTGTTTTACAGGAAAAAGATGAAGAGATGCTTTGAATGTGTGGCTTTTGTCCATCCTGAGTATCCTAGAATACACCAAGAGAAAGCTCAAAAGATAAGGGGACAGAAAGGCTATCCACAAGAGTAGACTCCTGCAGGAGACTTTGAAGTGGGGCGGGGGGGGGGGGGGGCGGTGAGGGGGGAGAGGGGTGTGATTTTTTTTTTCCCTCCAAGCTGAAGCCCAGCAGGTAAAATAAGAACGTAGCAGCTGGGACTCTAGAGACAAGGGGTATAGACCAGGACCATCCCAGCAGGAAACAAAAGTCACACCCAAATAGGGCAGTTCAAAAGGGAATTAATTCTCTTAAGGGACTATTTACAAAGGCCCAGGCAAGGTGTGGAAACCACAGGGCACCTGTGCACCCAGGGACAAGGCTGCACCTGTGAGTCAGGAGAGGGAGCTACTTAGAGAGAGAAAGAGCTAGGTGGAGGAACAATTGAAAGAACCAGCCTGACAAGACCCTTCCTTACTCTAATCTTCTTTCCCTGTCCCCATAGGACAGATCCAACTGAAGTCCGGGGGCGGGGTGGGGGGGGGGGAAGTTGGTAGACATTGTGCACCATCGTGGAGCCTGGTCCAGGATGGAGAGACGAGAGGGTGTAGTTCCGAAGACAAGCAACCGTACTGCGTTGGTGGTATAGTGGTGAGCATAGCTGCCTTCCAAAGACAAGCAACAGAACTGGGACATTTGGGTTCATGCATTTGTTAGGACAAACTTGATAATGGATTGTGAAGACCCTGCTTTTAGTGTTTAGGTTAGCTCCATAATCAAGAATGTGAATTTCTCTGGATTCCCTGAAACTTTTAGCTTTGGAAGCATTGTTAACCAATGAAAAATAATATTAAAATCTTGCCACAGTCAGTTGTAAAATATGCTACATAGTATCCCCTGTGAGAGGACTCTTAAACACAGATATATGCCTGATCTTGGGATCACCTCCTCTTCCAAGTTGTGATTTCAAGTTTGTTTTAAAGGAATGCCAATTTTGTTTTCCCTGTAGCAAGTTATCCCTCAGCCCCATGTGCTAGGCAGGGTGCCTTGCATCTGCTTTGGGTACCAACTAGAAACATACCATCCTCCATTCGCATGAATTCCTTGTAAAATCTATATTTTAAACCATCCCCTAGTCCTAAATACCTACCAAATTCAGTATGAATCCATCTAGCCATTTGTTCTTGTAAGGGTAAAAAGCAACATAATTTTCCCCACAGGTCCTGCACATGCTAACAGTCATCTTCAGACATGTCTGTCCTTGTGACAACTGTGAACTGGCGTGTATAAGGACCAGCTGACGCAGGAGCCAGGCCTTCCCACTATCACCCATTCAGCCACTTGTAGAATACGTTGACACACCCCTCAAGCCAGGAGCAGATCCCCTTGGACTCTTTTACTCTCTCATTAGATTCCTGAAGGCAAAATCTGAGAGCTAGTAAGATGTCTTTGTAATGTCCTTTCCATGCAGGCATGAGGACCCAAGTTCAGATCTCCAGAACCCACATAAGAGGCAGGTGCAGAGACACAACACCTCTAAACCTAATGCTGGGGACGTGAAGACAGGGCTTGCTTAGCCAACCAGCCAACCAGTCTAGCTGAACCAGTGAACTCCAGATTCAGAGAAGTTCAATCAATCAATAAGGTGGAGAGGAAGTGAGGAAGATGTCTGACATCAATCTGTGACCTCCACTGACACAAACATATGCAAGCACAATTACACTCAAATTGTACATACACATGTATCTCTCTCTCTCTCTCTCTCTCTCTCTCTC